GTTAGAAAAATTACTGTGGAGCCAACGACCCTGTCTGCATAGCCCTAAAGCCCTGCGTCCATGCCTGACCTCTGGCCGGTCTCTCATTGAAGTGCCCTAGCATCTCATGTGGCTAATAAACTATTGACAAGAACCTCATACAACCCCACTTCAAAAAATATATACATCCCCTTAAAATGGTTGGAAAAACAATGTTTTTCTACATTGTTAAAAAAATTCAAACATTAAAAACACCATACGTGATGCTTTCACTGACGTTTATTATTAAAGACAAAAACATTTTTTAACAAGTGGAAATGTCTTTTTGTGTGTGTCAAGGAGCTGGTGAGAAGGAACATGAAACAAATAACTTCATAATGTTTGAAAATTACTTTCTTTTGGTTTCAACAAATGGTTTCTGTATCTCTTTACAATAAGGTTTGTCTAAGCCACTTTAATTATGAGGTCAACAGGTTCCAATTGAGACAAAATAATCATTTGCTGAATTACATCGTCATTGTCTAATCACTTGTACCCTTTAATACTTCTCGTTTTGTCTCAGGATGTATTTCTGTGTTGATCTGTGAGTCTTTGTCTCTTTTCCTGTGGTGAAGAATAAGGACAACTAATTAGTAGAGAAGTATACAGCCCCTCAGAGGTACAGTGTAAGTATGATTAATTAGATTAATATCTGTTCTCTCAAGGACACAGAGACACTGTGTGAAACATGTTTTAATGAGAGTGCACATCATTTACATCACTCGTGGTCTTCGGTTTGCACGATTGCTCTGATTCACACACAGGAAGGATTCAATTTAAAGAGTAAGACAACATCAGACACTCAAGAAACTTTTGCTGGTAACACAAGACCTTTATTTGCAAAGTTCTGTTCTGAACACATCTTAACATTTTTTTTATTTGCCCTCCTAGTTGTGACTAAAGTTTTTACTGGAGATTTTAGAGCTAAATATGTTTTATAAGACAACGATTGCAAAAATAAGAAGCTGAATTTGGTCTGAATATTAAGCTGCAAACACATTTTCAATCTGCTGCATTAAGATCACTCATGACAGCTTAAGAGCTATTCTAAAACTAGGGCGGTGAATATAAGGGGCGGCTGTGGCTCAGTTGGCAAAGTCGGTCGTCTCTCAACTGGAAGGTCGACAGTTTGATTCCCAGCTCCTGTAGCCACATGTCTGATGTGTCCTTGGGCAAGACACTTAACCCAGAATTGCTCCCGCTGCTTATGAATGTGGCAGTGTATAAATGTGCATGAATGGGATCAGTTACTTCTGATGGTCACTTCACATAGAAACCTCTGCCATCATATAAATGAACCATTTTGATCCCAGAAAACAGAATCAGAAGAGCCTCTGTACCCTGTGAAGTCAAACTCACTACCCCTCCTTCTAACCTCGGGAACAATTTAAAGTCCACAATCCTGAACTGAGATAACAATAAAGACACGTTTAGGTGGAGGGTCCCTTTAATTGGTATATATAAAGAGGCATCCATTGACAGAAATCAAACAGACGCTGAATCTATACATTTTAATTATTTTTAGTTTGTCACACACCACTGAGCTCTGCTCGCCTCTTTTGCTGAGTGAAACTTTGGATTCCTGTGCAGTGGGTGCAGCCAATAAAGAGGTTATGATAGGTTTGTCATTACAATGCAAATGTTGTGTTTTGATGACTCAGAGGTGAAAAATGAAATCCCAATTTCAAGAGTTAGAAGTTTTACTTACAAGCTTAAAAAAAAACCCAGCAACACTCACTTTCACTGACTTATTAAAATGCAGAGAATGGGGACCAACATTTGTAATCATTTCCTTTTCTCCAACTCCAAGTAATCTACTGCTCAGTCAAAGGGGACGTATAGCAACAAAACCTTTTCTTGCTTTTTGGCTGACAGACAGTTATCTTGTTGCCAGTAAATTGGTTTATTTATGACATCGGAGACTGAAGCGGGATGGGGCTATGAATTCTGGCTTTACTCAGCTGCATATTAGCCAGCATTGATTTCTCTAGAGTACGTGTGTACAAAGCAAGCAAGCTTTATCAAAAACTCTTCAGATCCCAAAGAGAGAGAAACATGTACAAGTTTCTCACATTCTCCAGGCTCCCGCGTTGAAAACCTCCCCGATCGAAGAACAATATTTTTTTCTGAGGATAGTTTGGTATGAAATGCATCAGCCAGGCGATGTTCGCAGCCGGTCTCCTGCTGCTCTGGGAGTTTAATCAATAGAGATATAAGGCATTTGTTCCTACCTGAGACTCTGCTTACACACTCTTTTTTTTTAAATCATTTCTTTTATCAGAATAGAAGCCTTAGTGTGACTGACAAAAGCGGTCTCAGAGGAGCCTCAAAGATCTGAGAAAACACACAAAAGCGCTTTGGCTTTTTATATTGTAATAAATGGAAACATTGCACAGCAGCATTAAATAGCAGTCTTGACATGCAAAAAGAATTGTACTTTCTACAACATGAAACTCTGTACATCACATGGAATACATCAGCAGTGTTTTGTTTTTTTTTAATTGAGGAAACGTTGAACCATTCTCTCTTTTTTAAATTATTTTTTCTGAGAGCCATGTTATGAATTGAAATGTGTTTATACAGTTGGTTTTTAAATGTCAGCGCAAAGTTATGGTGCTTTTTATGCTCTGTTACATACAATAGGGCTGATGTGTCTGTGTATTCCTGTAAACCTTAAAGACAAAGCCAAACAATATCTCAGTAGTAGGGCTTTCACGCTTGTAGAAATCTCCTGAAAAACTCCTGGATAGCCGCTGTATGTGTGAACGCAAACAGCCACAGACCAGACAGACCACTAGTATTTTTTCGGAGCAGTCTTCCTGTAATTATCTAGATATTTTCAGGAGTGTATATGTGAAAACGGCTTTAGTCTCTCCTCCCTTTATGACTCATTGACTCTATGGTACCCGATGAAAAGACGTCCATCTTTAAAACTGGTAAAGAATATGGAGCTTGAATTTTGTCATGTGCTCCTAAAACTACAGGTTTTTGAATATTATCCAGGAGCAGCACATTTTACCTTTTCCTTGTTAAGGGATATTTTCATGTGTGAGTATGTGTAATGTTGGTACTTTGGAAGTTGTAGTCGTGATTTGAAATAAGAAATAAAACATCTCACAGTGCCCTTGGTTATGTTAATGAAGGGACACATCAGCCAGTGAAAAAGTGGCTCATAAATGTGTTTCTATACATAGATAAATATATCTGGTCATGCTTCTGCTGCTGGTCCTGCAATGGCACTGAGCTGGTTTTGATTTGAATTCGCCCAGGATTTATTTATATCCTGACATTTATGTTTAAAACATTATTTTAACGCACTAGATTGTACATCTGATACCACACACATACACGTCCACCTCACCAACCTACCTGATCCCTCCCCCCCTCATAGTTGCTGACACACCTTCAATATTATGTGAAATGAAACTTAATAATACCAGTGTAAGTCATAAACATTGTCATGTTGATACTTCTTCATTTCATTTTGATCCGGGGCCGTTTTCATCCTGAGAATACGCTCGGAGAGCTGCTAACTTCACTTCAACAATCCTAGGAGGATTTTTTTTATCTTAGGAGTGATTTAGGAACAATCTCAGAGCAAATCTGAGCGAGAGGGACAGAAACTTTTATCTTAGTAAGGAGGCGAGGTTGACCCTGTTGCTGCAGTTAGTGTGACACATTCTTTCAAAAGCTGTGATTGGTTGAGCCAAAAAAGAGAAAGACTAATCATAAAATCAAGTCAGAATTTGTGATGAGGAACACGTTTTTATGAAATTAACATCGGTGTTGAATAAATTGTAAGACATAATAAGAAGTAGTCTACAACATGATTGTAAACACATGACCTCTGCGTTATATTTGCATGTGAAAGGCCCTTCATCTGTGATTAGATACACCTGAGGAGTATATCACGTTTATAGAGGGATCCACCAAGCTAACCTAGCTGAAGACATTTCTGCATACATTATGTTTTGATCTGTTCAGCCCGACTTTGATTCAATTAGAGTCTTCTTCTTTCAGTGTTAGGAAAACTTTTCTTCACTTCTTCCTCAGCTTGAGAAACTCTTAAAAGTCCTCACAACGCCTAACAGGTTTTCACCTTAGGAGGTCTCTTAAGCGCTAATATGCTTTGTGCTTTGTGATACGCCTCAGTACAGCCGACCAGGGCTGCTTGTTTTCATAGCTATTGACTTTGGTTGATGTCAGGAAAATATTGTGTTGCACAGCACTTAACGATGTGTAAGAATTAAGCTACACACTTAGAACTAGGCTTCTGGACTCCTCACTTTGGAGATCTTCTGGGCACGGCCAACTGGGAGGAGACCCCGGGGTTATACCAGAGTTCGCTGGAGGGATTATATATCCCCTCTAGCCTGGGAACGCCTCGGAATCCCCCAGGAGGAGCTGGAAAACGTTGCTGGGGAGAGGGAGGTCTTGGCTGACTTACTGCGCTTGCTGCCTACCCGAACCCAATCTCAGATACGCAGAGGAAAATGGATGGATGGACGCAGAACTAGGATCTATTCATCTCTGGTTTTGGACTTTTTCATTGGATGTGAATCATGATGAGATTCATGGCGTTATTGCCAAAATGTTGATGTAGTCATAAAAGTATTTAACGCATATTGTATTATTTATTTGTTTGTTATTTGTCCTGGGAATCCATGTGGTGGGAAAATAGCACAGCATAAAAAGGAGGACATGTTGTGCATGTGTGTGGTAGCAAGTGATCATGAATGTGCCTCGCACATGTGTGATGGCTCTTAGTCAAACAACGTTACCTTTTTTTTTTTTTTTGCACAGAGAGACGTATTGGTCCCATTCAAATGAATGAGGTGCCTGTTTTTTTGTTTTTTTTTTGTCATGCTGAGCCGTGCCTTATCAGTCAAACACAGACACTAAGATGTCCTCAAAAGAAAGTGGATAAACAAAACTGAAGCTGCTCATGCAATCTTTTCTGATTTAAATATTAACATGCCAGACTCTTACTTTGTCTCCAGCTATAAGGTGACATCACAATATTATTTCCCCTTTGGTTTTCAAATCCTACCACTGTTCTTACCTCACCTGTGCATCAGGTCATTTTGTTGTCCCTGACTCAATGCATCATGGGGGCAAAAGACAGTAAACATAAGGGAAAGCAAACAAAGCTACATGTGAACGTAGACCGAGAGATGAGGGTGTCTTTTTTTGTCCATAACAGCAGCAAGCAGCTTTTCATTCAGTTCTTTCTGTTGTTCATGTATCATGCGTCCTCACAGATTAGACTGCAAACACACAAAGAGCTTCAATCTTCAGCACTCTCTTTCGTGGCTGTGGTGAAGAGAAGTTCAGGGTCTGCTGCTGTTTGTTTCATCTCCAACCGGTTCTTCTTGTACTTTCTCTCCCAGCACAGTTCAGTCGCATCTGTCAGGGAGACAAAGGGACACAGGCTATAAATACTGGGGCTTGTAAATACTCTAAACACACACACACACACACACACACTGATAAAAATAGCAAAGACGAACTTATCAGTTCCTGTGTGCATTCAGAAAAGGTAGGCACAGCTTCTTCTGAATGTCCCAAACACACAGCACACACATAAATAAATGCACACAGAATTTGGACTCAGTCACAATGACGTGATTAAGAGAGCGTGGCTAAAGGGATTTCTTGTCAGTATCAGCTTGCCAATGAACAGAGTGAAGAGAGCCTACAGAGTCTTTGATTTCAATGCCATTATCCACCATGTGTCAGTTTTATACCAAAACACATGACAGTATGTTCACTTCTGCCTCCATTACAGGTTAGGCAAGCATCCTGTTTGTTTCAATGACACTTTATGTCTTCAGTGTTTATTCGCATCAAAACTTTTGCACAGCATCTTCATGATGCAACTCCACTTTGCTCTCAATCAGATAAAAGTGAAAGTGGGTCATATGCAAATCCATTCATGAAGGGACTATTCATCTCATTCACAAGATTTATGTCCGCTATGCAAACAGTAAATAATCACTTAACTTGATTCCATACACAAATTGTAGGACATATGATAGATGCAGCACTCGAAAAATCTCGGTCTTGCATTAATTATCATAAATCTCACCAGAACTAAACATCACAATGATTTATATGCAACAAGATGTTGATGGAAAACAGCACAAAGTGAAAGCAACAGTGGTCATAGCCATAACGGTTCCTCTTCTTCTTTCAGTGTGCTTTAAACGTACAATATGTAGAATTTCTGTATTAAAATATCTATATTAATTAAAATGGACTAAACCTATATGTTATATATTTGTTGTTGTTGAGCACTTACATTACCTCAAATATTTTCAACAGTTATCAAAACCAGAGAAGTAAGTAAAGTAACAAAGAGAATCACTCCCATGATTCCCCGCCAGCCTCGACGTCATCTCTTGTTATTGTTTTGACTGAGAGCCCCCTGGTGGCGGAATATACGTACTGTGCCTTTAAGTCAGAACTTCTTGTGGCCAAAGTTTGCCTTGTGTAATAGTCAGCTCAAAATGTTGTCTTCTCATACTGTGTATCTACTTCAGCCTTCATTTCCTGATTTTTTTTAAGCAAAGAAATGAATCCTAAATGCCATTAGCTAATTATTTTCTGTTAGCTTGTGGAGTATTTCATAAATAACGAGGTTGATTCTTTAAATATCTGAAAAAGGATGATGAAATTTTAATGTGAACTGTTGGCAAAAAGAAAGGACACAGTCAAAGGAAAGATCTGATCATCATAATAGAACATATACCAGTCCTTTGAATACTTTTGTCCTTTATATTAAAATCTTTTGTATTTTTTTAAACAACTTAAATCACTCCCACAGAGACTGAAAAAAAGTCTCCTTTGTCCTTTTTTTTACTAACAGAACAAGAAACTGAACAAATCCAAAGTGAAACATGTCAAAAGAAATAACGAGGTTGAAATGTCGATGGTGATGTTCTGGGTTACTGCTTGATTTAAGAAAAATCTAATTTTTAGTTGAACTTCCCTCACTGGTTCAGTTCAGGACTTCCTGCGATCCTCTTCATCCAGTTGTCAGTGAACATTGTATTTTTGGACAAAAGTTTTATTATAAAACAAAGTTTAACTTTTTCTGTGATACAGTATATTTTTTTCACTTTAGTTAAAGACCCAGATTGGAAAAAGGTGGCTGATAAAAGCAACTACTCAGCTTAGGTTAGAATAGCTAGCATAGCTTAGCTTAGCTTAGCATAGCTTAGCTTAGCTTAGCTTAGCATAGCTTAGCTTAGCTTAGCTTAGCTTAGCATAGCTTAGCTTAGCTTAGCATAGCACTACGACTGAAACAGGATGAATCAACCAACTAAGGCAGCAACATTTTTCTACCTGCACTTCTAAAGGTGACTTATCAAAATGTTTTATATATAAATATTTTTTTTTAGGGCTGTCAAACGATGATTTTCAAAAATTTTGATTAATCGCTGATTTCTACCATTAATTAAGCAAACTTTCTGTAAATGGAAGGTTACAACATTAACGTATTCAGAGGAAAAGTGAATGAAAAAAACAGCTTAAAGGAACATAAAAAGTGAAGTGTTTGATGTCATGAGGTAAAGATTACTTTTGACTCATAAACTGAGCTGTCAGTGATGTCTGTGAATGGAGCAATTCAAAGGTGCAGTGTTTTTTGTTTTTTTTCCATCACAGTGGCAGCAGGGAGATGCTGCAGTCAGTGCAATGATTTAGCTATGGTGTCTAATGGAACAAAATAACATGTGATTAAAAAAATGCATTAATCGTGGACCTTACTCGCATCGCGATTAATGAGTTAATGCTAAGCGCTTTTCAAGTCCTCAGCCAAGACCTAAACTTTGCATTTGAACAGCACTTCAAATCCATGCGAACACACACACACTATACTCTAGAGCCTAAATTTCTTTCAATCTCATCCACTTTTTTTCACTATGTTTATTTAATAAGCGCCGCCAAAATCAATTCTGCAGTTCATACTTTTTTGTTGGAATTTACTGATTACTTTGATGATTAAATCTAATAATAGTCTTTCTCAGGCCAAAACCAGTTTGTCTGATTGATCAATCTAAGATTAGCTTTACCATTCCACATGCTAAGATTAGCTCTTCCAACAGCACACGCATGGGAACAGTGGTTTCCCCCGATCTCAGGAAACAGAGTCTCCACAGTTTAAGCAGCAGTGGGATGATAAGCAGTGTAGTGGTTGTATGACGGTTTACATGTGAAGGTGGATCACCATTTACTGAAAGAGAATTCATGCAAGTAATAAGTGTATTAGTAATTTCAGGAGAAGTGAATCCTGATATTATTGTGATTTGGAGTATGACTAGTATTTAAAAAAGAGAGAAACGTATTAATCTCTTCCATCACTCTAGTTTATTAGCAAGTTTAAGCATGATAACCAATCAAACTAAAATAGTAATTGTGGTGAAGATTTTCGATTAAATTCTAGAATTGTCATATGTCAGCAGTCACACTAACGGATATAACATAAGTTTAAACATTTTAAACAAACTTTTGATTTATTTGTGCCTACTTTTGCAGCATCACCATCTGATGGTAAATGGACTTGAGTTTGTTAAACGATTTTCTCGTCTTCTGACTACTCAAAGTGTATTTTACATCACAGGTCACACATACCGATTCCCACACTGATGGCAGAGGCTGCTTTGTAAAAGTGTTGAACAGAATTAACTAATCCATTCATACTCATTCGCACACCGCTGACATAGAAGCAGGAGCAACTGGTGGTTCACTGTCTTCCCAAGGAAACATTCAACCTTCCAGTTGAGAGACGACGGACTCTACCACTGAGCCACAGCCGTTTTAGTCCCAAAAAATAGTCTCAAATACCAAAAACAGTACAAACTTGTGGACCCGCAGAGCAATGTTGCGAGTCACGGTGGTTCCGTCTTCATTTTATAACATTTTGACTTGTACCCAAAGCTGCCTTTTCAACCTGAATTTGAAAAGTTTCTGTAATGAAAGATTGAAACAAAGTTTGAACAGTCTTTAAGGTCGGCTTTTTCTGCCTGCTTAGGTCCTGGTTGGATGGTCGGCTTTACTTGCTCATTGCCTCAGAAAGCTGACTAACCCATTCCTCCTCCCAGTTGCAGCACAAAATCTCACTTAAGTCATATCCCACAGGGCAAAAAGTGAGGAAATGAATCCTCTCTTCTTTTTTCACAACAAACATTGGGACTCGAATGCTGAGGCTATTTAATGATATAATGTTCACACAGCGCTGCAAGAGTATAATCATATGTGGTTATCGTCCTCTAGAGGCTGTACCATTATAGCAGGTTTTAGACCTTTGAGGGGATTAGGTTGCTGACTGTCTTCCTTGTCTCAAATGCCTATCAGCAATATAACTGTGTTCTTCTGCTGTTTGAGGACAGCGGACAGAAAATAGACCTGAATAACTTTTGCTCTCCAATCCCTCAGTCCAGCTGTTCATTTGTCACCTTTTGACTCGAGATTGCAATGCATCCTGCAGTGAGCTCTCCCACTGTAGTCTTTCCTTCACTAATGACTCCATCCCTTCTGATTTTCCCCACTGACTGTTTCGCCAGGCCTTCTGTGCTTGCTCAGTGGCGGCAAAACCCTCTAACAGCCCACTTGGCAGAAGCAGTCAGACGGAGAGGTGTGTATTTGCCCCTCTTTGCCAAGGCTCCATCATCAAAAGCTCATCAAAGACCATGAGTAGATCTCAATATGCTGAGGAAGTAAGGGTTCATTGACTGTGAGTGGTTGCTTCTGCCATTTCCTGTAACCCCACAGTCGTAAATTATTCAGCGAAGATGCAACCTTAGGTATTCTTGCCTGCTGCATGCAGAATTCTTTTTTTTTTTCACAATATTTGAAGTGTTGGAAAGAGCATTTAGCTCCTGGGGAATCAGTGACTGCAAAGTAAAGCCCATTAGTGGTGCAGGGGTATAAATCTCTTCCCTGGCACTGCCAGGGAAGAGATTCACAAGGTTATTATTATTGTTAATATCAGAGTTGTTATTGTAATGTCCTGCACACACTCTTGACCACATTCAACCTGGCATGAGGCCAATTTAAATTTTGGAACAGATGAGTCCACTTCCATGTTAAAATTACCTTTCCAGATGCAGCAAGACAAATATTTGTTGATTGTGCAGCGTCCGGGCATGGGTTGGATATTTGCTGAAAGTCAGGGTAAAAGGAGAGTTCCATGCAGAGTTTGCTGGTTTTTAAGCTTTTACAGCTCCTGCATCTTGCTTGCTCCCTCTCTGGCAGGACATACAGACCTGGCTTATCCTGCCTGGCTTAACACACTGCACACTGGCTGCTTCTTATCTTAGCCTTGCAGCCCTTTGGGTCCTCATTCCCACATGCAATTACACCAGCAGGCACAGACCACTAATAATGACAGTTTGTTGATGTTA